CGTTCTAAAAATTTAAATGTGTTCCCATTTTAACCAAACCTAATTAATTGTTTAAATCGAAATTGGAATTCCAAAATTCATCAGCAGCTGTATGTGTTGGGGCATGCAGCCAAGTGTTAGTATTCATACGATCATTCATATTGGATTACACATCTATATTGTAATTGTATTTAGAAGTAGAAATACGTTGATAACAGCAAAAATTCTGATCCTGAATGAAACCGCAAATAAATAAAAGTTAATTAAAAGTTCGAATTTTCTTGCGCCGAAGCCAATTTCCAATAATAATTTTTAACAATCTCCCTTGCTTTACTGAAGCGCCTATCTCTGAGATTCCTTCCTTTTGTGTATTATTATACCGCCATCTTGTTGTAGCCGGAAGTTATCCTTTGTATAGTGACAATGGAGATTTTGTTAACAAAATGTTGTTGAGAGAAAAATGAATTATCCGAAACAAAGATTCTGATCCTGTACAGTTTCTTCAGCATATATTCCAAAGAAAGAACTATTTCATACAATTATTTTCTTGTAAAATCCATGTTTCCTTCCTTTTGTGTTCTTTTGAATTTTTTCTCCGCCATCTTGTTGCATGTTGATCTAGGCTGTCAACAAAAGTTTGTCTCACATCAGGGATATTCAGCCTATTTATGTTGAGGCGTTTCGGAACTTTCGTGGCCTGAGGTCGTCTCTTAGGTTGGATATGAATTTTCATCTTTGAGACGATGAGGCGGTGATCCGTCCAGCATTCTGCGCCACACATGGCCTTAGTCACCCTCACGTCCTGGCGGCCCCTATTTCTGACTATGACATAATCAATTAGGTGCCAGTGTTTAGAACGGGGTGCATCCAGGAGGTCCGGTTGCGCGTTGTCAGGCTGAAGGTGGTGTTCGTTATTAGAAGGTCATGTTCAGCACAGGTCTGCAGTAGCAGTTGGCCGTTGCTGTTGCACTGACCAACACCATGCTTCCCAATCACTCCCCCCCAGGAGGTGTAGTCACTGCCGACACGTGCATTGAAATCACCAAGTATGATGAGTTTGTCAGCAGATGGTGTGGAAGAGATAACAGTCTTCAGGTCTTCATAGAATTTGTTTTTGGTCCCTTCTGTGTTTGTCATGGTGGGTGCATAGGCACTGACTAAGGTAGCAGACTTCTTTCCATGGCAGAGGGGGATTTTCAACGTCATGAGACGGTCATTTATACCTTTTGGAGAGCTGGGGAGCTTGCTCACAAGAGAGGTTTTGATAGCAAAGCCAACACCAGCTTCACGCCTTGCGTCAGGGTCGCGCCCGCTCCAGAAGAAAGAATAGCCAGCAAGCCTTTCTGTGATTTCACCCTCGCCAGAGAGTCTGGTTTCACTGAAGGCGGCGATGTCTATATTGTATCTCGCAAGTTCATGGGCAATGAGCGCCGTGCGACGTTGAGGTATGTTAGAAGTGTCCCTATCAAGCAGTGTGCGTATGTTCCATGTGGCAATTTTAAGTGAAATAGTGTTTATCCTTGTTTACGAGTGCAAAGATTGTGTCCCCGCTGGCCGTGTTCAGTCGGCTATGGTGTGAAGGAGCAGGCATTCTTTTGGGCACCTATTCTAGCCCCTTCGTCATGCATTTAGAAGAGCCTGCCTGTCGCCACGAGACTTGGGATGATGGGTATAGTTGGATGACTGATGACTTGCGCGGGTGACTTTTTTTAAAGTGAGGAAGAATTGTGCAGCGTCAACCTCATTCTCTCGTCCGGACCCACCGTGTCCAGTGGCAAGACTATGTCAAGATGACCAGAAATGGGTACGGATGCAGTGGATGACCAAGATGTTCTACGTGCCTCATCTTGCTCTACGCACTCCACGGTGCGTTGCTGTAATCGCCTTCACCTCCGTTGAACCTAAATTGTTTCTTCCGCAGGATCCGCCGACATCCAGTCTTTGCATGCATTAGGTAGGCAGACCTAAATCACCGAGTGCTTGAGGCCCATCATCTACCCACACCTGGTTTACCCAGCTCTTGTAAGCCGTTGTCCAGGATATGGCAGCTGTTGCATGCTGACAACTTAGCAAGACACAAAAATTATCTCCATCGTTCTAAAAATTTAAATGTGTTCCCATTTTAACCAAACCTAATTAATTGTTTAAATCGAAATTGGAATTCCAAAATTCATCAGCAGCTGTATGTGTTGGGGCATGCAGCCAAGTGTTAGTATTCATACGATCATTCATATTGGATTACACATCTATATTGTAATTGTATTTAGAAGTAGAAATACGTTGATAACAGCAAAAATTCTGATCCTGAATGAAACCGCAAATAAATAAAAGTTAATTAAAAGTTCGAATTTTCTTGCGCCGAAGCCAATTTCCATTAATAATTTTTAACAATCTCCCTTGCTTTACTGAAGAGTCTATCTCTGAGATTCCTTCCTATTGTGTATTATTATACCGCCATCTTGTTGTAGCCGGAAGATACCCTTTGTATAGTGACAATGGAGATTTTGTTAACGAAATGTTGTTGAGAGAAAAATGAATTATCCGAAACAAAGATTCTGATCCTGTACAGTTTCTTCAGCATATATTCCAAAGAAAGAACTATTTCATACAATTATTTTCTTGTAAAATCCATGTTTCCTTCCTTTTGTGTTCTTTTGAATTTTTTCTCCGCCATCTTGTTGCATGATGGTATGATGGCCCGAGTACAGGACAACGGTCAATCATCTCCAGCATTCCCCGTCACAAACGGTGTAAAACAGGTTTGTGTTCTTGCTCCCACACTCTTCAGTATTATGTATTCCGCAATGCTGTCTGATGCGTTCAAGGACTCCACCATGGGCTTACCAATCCGGTTTCGTACTGATGGATCAGTATTTAACCTTAGGAGGCTTCAAGCTAAAACCAAGGTCAAACATACCACGATCAACGAGCTTCTGTTTGCAGACGATTGTGCCCTTAAAGCTCCATCAGAGGCCGTCATGCAACACAGCGTTGATATCTTCTCAGAGGCCTGCAATAATTTTGGCCTCACAATCAACACAAAGAAGACTGAGGTGATGTATCAGCCAGCTCCCAGTAAGCCCTATGTTGAACCCAACATCATCATCAGTGGACAGCGTCTCAACCCGGTGGATAAATTTACTTACTTGGGCAGCACCCTCTCTAGATCTGTCGTCATGGATGATGAAATGAATGGCAGACTCGCAAAAGCTAGTGCCCTATTTGGCAGGCTCCGCAACACTGTTTGGGATAGGAGAGGTATCAGTCGAGAAACAAAGCTGAAGGTCTATAGCGCAGCAGTCCTCCCGACACTGCTTTATGGATGTGAAACGTGGACTGTCTACCAGCGTCACGCCAAGAAACTGAATCATTTTCACACTACCTGCCTCAGGAAACTCCTGGACATCAGGTGGCAAGACAAAGTCCCCGACACCAAGGTCCTCGCTAGAGCGAACCTACCTAGTATCTTCACCACTCTGATGCAGTTTCAGCTCCGTTGGATGGGACACGTAGCCCATATGGCAGACCACCGGCTCCCGAAACAAATATTCTTTGGAGAATTCACGATAGGCAAGCGCTCCCAAGGAGGCCAAAGAAAGGGTTACAAAGACTCATTGAAAGTGGCACTAAAGGCCTTCAGCATAAACCCTACTCAATGGGTGCAGCCAGCCCAGGACAGAGCCAGGTGGAGAGCTGCTGTCAAGAAGGGGGCTAAATCCCATGAAGCTAAGAGAATAACCACAGCTGAGACACGCAGGCTTGTCCGAAAGAGCAACATTAGGTCATCGTCTGAAGCAGCTATTCCATGCCCACGGTGTCATAGATTATTCCGAGCAAGGATCGGTCTAACAAGCCACCTAAGAGCTCACCGTAATCCCAACCCCCCCGCCCGCCCCTAACCGGATGATTCGATGATCCTTGTCGACTTCGACGGACGAACAACAACAATAATATAGCCAACTATATCCCCATCCATTTACCTTTCTAAAAATATATACTTATTGGGGTCTTGTATATATATTTCTGTCATTTAATACTACAGGGTAATTCAAAAGGCACTCAAAAAGCTCTGAAAAGCTCCCACACTACAGAATGTTTCTGTGTCACAGTTAGTGGTTTAAAGAGTGTGTAACTTGGTGTTACTCAGTTATAGAGATTATCTTTTAAAGAGTGGTTGACTTGAAACTTTTGATACAGGTATAGAGATGGGCCAGGAAACCCAGTCAAGTGCACTTATGAAGGAAATTTGCGGGATCTCCTAGTCTACTCTAAACCCAGACAACCCAAAAAACTATATTATCAGCAGGTATGACAAGTTATATTATTTGGACTTATCTAAATTCAATAATAATCACTCAAAATTAAATTTAAAATTCTTGAAATCAGAAAAAAAAAGTCTGTTATTTTCAGGTCTATTCATTTAAATATTGTAATGTTTCTTCCTCAGCTGGACATGAAAATAAGTGAGCTGGAAAATAAAAAGCAATTTAAGGTGCTATGGTTAAACAGTAAAATGAAAGATGAGGTTGGTATTACTTTGCTGGAATTTTTAATTATGTTTTTTGTTGTTCAATAATATTATATTTCATTTTTTAAACATAATATTGTATTTGTTCATTTCAAAAATGTATTTTTATTTCATATTTCCAGCGTGAGTTAGTTCTTTACCCAAACAAAAATGGTAAAGTGCAAGATCTCTTAGAGGAGGCAAAGAAGCAGGTGGAACTTTCTGAAAATGGCTCTGGGAAGTTGAGGTCAATAAATTCATTCTAAATGATGTCCATTTATTTTTCTTATACTTACTTAATTTATGCTGTTGGCAATTTTTATTAATAATTAAAAGTAAATTTTACTTTTTTTGTTTATTTTGTGAACATTAATCCTAATTCCTCTTAAACCAATTTGCTTTACACCACTAATAATTGTTCTCTTGGTCTGGTCATTTGCAAAGTGAATTTCCCCTCACAGGTCTTACTATCAACACCAACACTCCTCCCCTCAGCTTAATTTTTTTTTTTTTTTTTACAATGCATATTAATGATCTTACTTCAAACAGGGGTTTTTACAATAATACCGACATATGTCTTCTTTATTTGTATTAGGTTGCTAGAAATTATAAGCTACAAAATTCTAGCAGTTCAGAAGGAGGACCTGGCACTTGATCACCTTGTCATTGGTGGGACTAAGACATATCGAATTGAGGAAATTCCAGCAGAGGAAGTGAATATGGGAGCTGAAGAATTACTAATACCTGTTGCTCACTTTCAAAAGGTTTGTGGCTGTTTTTTTTAGTATGATATATCTAATAATGCGTTTGTTGTATTATAATTATAAAAAGTGTTTAATAATAATAAAGTTTATTTTTTAAAAATCACGCTTCATCTCAAAAGGCTCAAAGCGCGGTACAAAGTCAACCATATTAAAAGAGAAATGAAACAATCTATATTTTACCCATTAAAACACACAACGCAACACTATAAAAACTACAAATGAGCATACCCATTCTAAGTCTTTCATTCCTTTCAACTACAAACAACACAAGCCAATATACATCTAGGAGATAATAGCTAGCTGGAAAAGATTGTTGACATCATTACCCCAGCAGATGTTTGCAAAATAGATGTGTTTTAAAATCTATTTGATGGATTAGTAAATTGTTCAATAAAGTTTCAGTGTATTTCTGATCTCCAGGAGATGTATCAGACTTTTGGAATACCATTTCTTCTCAAGATTAAAGATGTAAGTTTGTTTCTGAGATTTTAACCAGTATTTTTAAAGCATAAAATATTAATTTAATTAGTGTTTCTCTTTAGGGAAATAAAAAACACTGGAATATAACTTAAGTTGTGTCACTGAATGGATGGAATTTTCTTGAAGCATCCTTTTCTATTACTGTATATTAACACATTTAATGCCAGAAATTTAGGCTACAAAATGCTTGTTAAATTAGGGTAAAAAATTAATTTAAATTTATGGTAGAAAATTATACTTAAAATTATACTTAAATTTATGGGTCACAAAATGCTACAGATAACGAATTTGAGAGTCATGTTATGTTAAAAAAATACTAATAATTTAGATTTGAATGATAATACTTCAAGGTTTTTAAGGCTACATTTGGATATATTTTGTGTTTGTTTGCAAAATTAAAAAATCATTGTAATTCAATGTGAGCTTCTGCTATTTTCTGTAGAATTAAATAATAATCAAGATTTTTGAACAAATATATTTCCTTTTATCAAAATTTTAATTTTTGTACCGTTCATTCTTTTTGACACTAATTTTCTGAAGGTGATTTTTTAAAATTTAATGAAACAAAGCTCTAAAATATTTTGTAGTTAATTTCTTAAAGCCTTTATTATAATAATTATTTGCACCAAATAACTATAAAAAATATATTTTGTGCATTTGTCTAACAAAGGGAGAGACAAATAAAGTTTGTACAATGAACCAAATGTGAATCTTGTGTCAGGTTATCTCCATCCTATGAACAGTGTTGGACAATGTGAAATTGTAATAAAAATTTATATAAAATGTACCTGGTACTTCTTATAATAAATATATGTATTTCTTCATTTAAGATGAGTGAAAAGAAATGTAAAGATTAGAAAGAATAAGGCAAAATTCTCTTGAACCTGTAGCACCAGCTGATGAGACACAACTACTTTCAAGTTATTTATTATAATTATTATAGATTTCACAAATTCTTTTTTTTCTTTTGTTGACAGAACGAACCATTTAGTGCAGTCAAAGACAGAATCCAAAAAAAATTGGATATTCCTGACAAGGAATTTGAAAAGGTAAAATCTACGCAATTGTTAAGGCAACAGATATCATAGCCATTTGCTCATAAGAGAAGCATCAGTAATATTTCAGAATGTTGACAATTTTAAATATATATATATATATATTTTTCTTTTCTAACTTTTGGTGTACAGTACAAGTTCGCAATCATTGTAATGGGCAGACTGGAGTACGTGTCAGAAGACTCAGCTGATGTAAGGGTTGATCTCAAGAAATTTTTACCACATGCTATATCAACAGGTACTTTCTTTGTCTTGTATATCATTATTTAAGAAAATATCAGAGTAAATAAGGAATGATAATTTATTTTCAAGGAAAGATATTTTTTTTTTTTAAAGATGCCTCACACTGAATCTGACACCTTTACTACAAAATAGAGTATTCTTTTGCCGTAGCAGTTTTTGTAGGTGGTGGGAGTTCCATTCAAAAACCTGAATTGACACCTGTTTGGTCACACCACTTATACTAACCCTAGGACTGTACCTTACAACATTTTCATGTGTTTTATCTCACCACTTACATTTACCCTAGGTATGTACCTTGGTCAGGTTTCAATTGCTCTGCTAGAAATTGAATCTTGATACTATTCATTTTGTGTTCATCAATTAGTTATGTATTAGTAAAACTCGTTTTCTTTGTTAAAGGTATGGGCATGCAGGCACGTCCTTGGCTTGGTTTAGATCATGTCAACAAGACCCCAAAGAGAGCAAGATACAACTATTTGGAAAAGGCAATAAAAATACATAACTAAAAGAAAAGGATCAGGCAGCTAAGTTTTAAACCACATTAATGCACACAAGGACTTCACCCAAAATAGATTACTGATAGGATTTGGAATGAAATATTCCAGAACAAGAAATTAGGACTTTATAAATATTATTGTTCAAATTTAATAAGGGTATTTTTTGAGATATAGAGTGTTTAGTGGTGGAAGAAACTTAATATCACCATTTATTGAATTAAAATGAAATGTTCATGGACAACCTAATCAGAAAAGAATTATTTATTTTTCATAAAAATTTACTTGTAGCTCTTTTCCTCTGTCCATGAAAAGTAACTAAAATGTTACATTTCTCTCAATGGTGCAATATTATTTTTAATTTAAATAGTTTTGACAAGGAAATGCATTCAGATTTAAGTCAAGCAATATGCTGTTGCATTTAGAATACATTTAGGATGTCAAGATACATTTTTGAGTTTGTCAATTTAGAAAACAATCAAAATGGCATTGGATTCTCAAATGACTGGTTCTATGTTATTTTATTTTTCACCTTGCACAATTGGAATGCTATTGGTCATTTCAATCCTGGGTGATGCTCTAGAGATTGATGCAAGTCTAGAGTCTACACAATTGTCTCTCTTTGTCATGCCATTCAAATGTTGATAGCTTGTACTTTGAAATGTTTAGAGCAGTTGACAAAAATGCTGACTATTCTTAAACATAGCTGATTGTTGCAATCTTTTAATCCAACAAATGTCCATATGTCTTGTTTGGAGATATGAATCAGCATAAATGCTTTCAGTATGCATGTGAATATAATAGCAGTATTGCTGTAAATATTGTATAGTGAATGGAAATAAAATCTTACATTCACTTTTAGTTTAAGTTTCAACAAAAAGAAAGTGCTTAAGCTTATATGAGCATACATTTGTAAGCTTATCTGAGCATACATATTTGTAAGCTTATCTGAGGATACAATTGTACGTTTATCTGAGCATACATATGTAGGCTAACTGAGCAAACATTTGTAAGATTATCTGAGTACATTTGCAGGCTTATCTGAGCATACAATTGTACGTTCATCTCAGTATACATATGTAGGCTTATCTGAGCAAACATCTGTGCATACATTTTTACATTTTCAATTTTTTTTTTAAATTAAAATAAACTAAAAGTAAGTGATGAATGATGTTATTGATGTTATTTGAACGGATTGCCTGCCAGATTTTTTATGTTAAATGAATGGATTGCCTGCCAGATTTTTTATGTTATTTGAATGGATTGCCAGACAATGCTAAAGAAAAAGATATATTTTTGACCTTTGGTTTCAAATTTACCATTGCTTAAAATTTCTTTTCTCTCCAATTAATGATCCCAGGTTGAACATGAGAAGTGGGTCCCATTGTACAACTCCCAGGTTGAACATGAGAAGTGGGTCCCATTGTACAACTCCCAGGTTGAACATGAGAAGTGGGTCCCATTGTACAACTCCCAGGTTGTTACACAAATAAAGTATTTATTTACCTTAACAAACTGCGTGGTGCAGTCTTATTTCCTCAACTGTTATTTGAGGAAATCTGTTTTATTGCTTGATTCAAGCCATTGTAAGCTTGCATTAGGATCCAAATTTGAATTTCTCCTTGTCTGAGTTCTTTCCCTATCCAGACATGAAAATAGATAATTTCCACATCACCAATAGTGGAAATGAGTAAAACAAAGTATGTAAAACGTGAAAAAGGAACACAAACAATGAACGTCCTGTGAGGAAGTGTTCTTTAGCAAACAACAAAAAAACAGAATTAAATTTTAAAATATCACTTAGCTGAAAATTAGTATCCGAGGGGGCAGCAAAAGAATTGTGACAGAACATAAGCAGGTGAGAGATTAAATACAGGCAAAAGGGAAAGAAAAGAGGAGAAGTAAGTCCGCTGCGATTGGTCGTGACGTGGAGGGGAGGGGCCAAGCTCAACATGTGAATGAAAGTGACGTATATGCCATTGGTGTCAAAGTTCCATAAGTCTGTATAAGCTTGTTTTCCAAATTCACCCGGCAGGGTGTGTTTGTGCTGGTCACGATCGCACTAATTAGTTTATTATTGGCACTTAACTGTCACAATTTTTTTTTGCTGCCCTCTCAGATACTACTTTTCAGCTAAGTGCTATTTTTTAAATTTAATTCTGTTTGGTTTTTTTTGTTGGGTTGGGGGGGGGGGCCTTCTTGCCGACACGTTTGTTGTTTCTTTGCATTCCTTTTTCAGGTTTTCACATTCTTTGTTTTACTCATTTCCTTTTTTGCTAACCACCTGATTGCAGTCTCCCCCCCTTATTTTTTTTAATTTTTTTTTTGTTGGGTTTTTTTTGTGGGTTTGGGGGGGGGGGGCCTTCTTGCCGACACGTTTGTTGTTTCTTTGCATTCCTTTTTCAGGTTTTCACATTCTTTGTTTTACTCATTTCCTTTTTTGCTAACCACCTGATTGCAGTCTCTCCCCCTTATTACCATTTTACCAATAGTGTTAGTGCAGTGAAGGAAGTTGAAACAATGAGCTAGATAAGGTGATGACAGTCATCAAAGGAATGATCCTAAACTGCCTGATTAAAACAAGATAATTTCATTTCTGGCTTTTATAACTAGCCAACCAAAAAATAAGGTGCTCATCTTTTGTTGTACTCTACCATGGTCCAATGTTATGTACTTTACCAACTTTGGACATATTTTATTACCTTTGTTAGGTGTATTGACTTTCAGAAATCATGTGACCTATTTGTAAAAGAATATACCTGAAACTTTTAGCCCATGTTAAGAAAAAAAATTCATAAATATGAATGTTTGCAAATAAATTTTATATTTGAAATTGTGTTTTGGGGTTCCTTTTTGAATAGAAAAAGGTTAAATTTGATAAAGCATCAATGTCAGCAAATGAACATTTCTAGTTCATTTGTTTCTTCTTTTTCAGTTCCTCATCTTTTTAAATGCTATAGATAATTTATTTCATGATACATATTTTTTATTATTATTTTTTAAAATAAATTAAAATCTTGTATATTTGGATGTTCGAATTATAGCTCTTTCCGTATTGAGGGCAGTTGTAGCTACTAATTATTGAGGGCAGTTGTAGCTCCTAATTCCAAAAAGCAAGTTTTCTGATCATGACATAAATGACCCATAATGAAGTTAACTGGATGTAAATTAAATTGTGTTTGAAAAATGATTTCTATGCCATTGATTAAACTTCAGGTGTCATTCATGCATACCATCTCAATTGTCCTTACAAACAGGTTGTCATACCTGGTAGTTCTATACATGTCTGTGGGAAGGGGGGCAAATGGGGCACTCACAGCATGTGCTAAAATATTCTTTAGATAGTACCTTACAAGGGAGTTAAACAATAAAATCTCATGTACTTCTCAAAGACAAAGGGTGCCGAAATTGTCCATCTAAGAAGCACTTTTTTCAAGTATATATCGATGGTGCTGCTGCTGCTCAGCACGACCTTGGGGATACATTCTCATACAAGGGTAGTTAAACCATCTCAGTTTCTCTCACTGTAAAGTTGCACTTGTATTAAACTAGAAAAATAATCCACTTTACCAAGAGGCGACCCAACGTTCTGGCCTCTGTTTTATTTTCTATAGCTTGTTACTTTTCCACACTGGGATTTTAGCCACATGGCAACAGCAGCAAACTGAACTTAAAGTTAAATTACGATGTGTATACAAAATAAAATAATCAAGATGATGGACATATCAAGAAAGTCGGTCTGCTTTTCAAGGCTCGGAGCATTCATATTTCTGTCAAAAATTGGAATTGGGGAAAATTAGTGTAGCCATGAGTCAATACCATCTTTAAAACAAATGGTTTTATTTAATGGGCACCTTAAGATGTTTGTTCATAACACAAAGCCCAGCCAGTGATGTCATTAGTAGTATCCTGATAAACTGTCTACTGCAGTGGTCAGTGACCTGCAGCTCAAAATAAATAAATGCCAGTCTTTTCATTTCTAAAAAATATATTTTTTTGGTACTGATCTTTAATCCTATTTTTAAACAATCCAACCAATGCCTGCGGCTCCCTATATATTTTCTTAGATTTAATTTATGAAATGGCTCTTGGGCCAAAAAAGATTGCAGACACCTGATGTAATGCAATAATGAATGAAAGTCTACTTGTGGAGGCTGACTGTATGAATGTCTACTTCAGTAGGCTGACTTAGATGAATGTCTACTTGTGGAGGCTGACTGTATGAATGTCTACTTCAGTAGGCTGACTTATATGAATGTCTACTTGTGTAGGCTGATTTTATGATTGTCTGTCTGCCTTGGCTGACTGTATGAAAGTCTGCTTGTGTTGGCTGTGTAGATTGCTTAATTGTCCAATAGTTATGCATGTCCTGCAAGTTTGGAGATGAACTGATGATGAAAGGTGAAAAGGAATCGTTGCAGCTGCCTGATGTATTTTTTAGAAAGGTCTTTTGTTTTATTTTATCTGTTTAAATATTCGAATAAACCAATAAATATGCAAAATTATGTTGCTTTTTTTTTTCCTCATCAATTGGTTGAAAAGGTAAATGATCAAATGAATTTTTTATCCATGCTCTCTCAATTTGAATGATGTCATCATCTAAGTAAACAGTAATGAATAATAATTACTGAGTTTCAACTCAATTTTTTCATTTAAAAAAAACTCAAAAGTCCAAAATAGATTTCAAAGGTGACCTAACATATGACACACAGACGTAATAAGCTAAGGGGGAGGAGGGGGGGGGGGTCCCAAGAGGCCTTATTACTCAATTTAATATTGGTTTCCTTCACTTGATGGACAGGACACCTTGAGAGTATGCCAGAAAATAAAGCAGCATAAGCGTTCTACAAATAGAACCCGAGGTGAGACGGCTCACCGGTGGACCAAGACTGACATGCATTGACGGTATAATAATAATAATAAAGTTCATTTCAAAAACACGCTTCATCCCCAAAGGCTCGAAGCGCGGTACAAAGTCAACAAAAAACATATCTATAATTCACCACATTTAAAACAAACGCAACACTACAAAAACTAATTACAAGCATACAATATCAAAGTCTTTCTAGCCATTTCAACCCGGAGCAACACATAAGGGCGTTCCAAATTGTTGGACCAGCAAATGCGAAAGTGCGCTTTCCGTAAGTCTCAAGGCAAACACGTGGTGTCGAGAGTTTGCCACTATCGGATGAGCGGAGCTCTCTAGTGGGTACATAAGGCGTCAGCAGCTCTTTCAGATAGGACGGCGCCAGGTCATGTAAGCAGCGGTAGCACAAAGTTGCGATTTTGTACTCTATGCGAGCACGCACCGGCAGCCAATGCAACTCTCTCAGAAGTGTTTTTGCATGGTCGAATTTGCGTTTGGGTATAGAGAAGGACTTAACCTGTGAACTGAGTGCATTCGTTTTCCTCTCCGCTTCGTGATGGTCCCAGCTTGACCTTTGCTCTCAGTTGCCGAATCACCGGAAGAGTCTCATATTTCAATCTAGGCAACGGAGTGCACCCCTCTCGCGTTCCTCTCCTTTTTTTGCCGCTCCCATTTGCTGAATCGAACCCGAACGTTTTAACTCGCAACTAAAATTTCTCAGCAAGTGATTAGACCAGCCGCAAAAATGTCCATCAACACTTGTTTTGCTGTAAATTTATAGTGTCAATCTATCATCCATCTATCCATCTTTCAACCCACCCGTCGGCCTGTCTGTCTACCTGCCCTAAATTATGTTTTTGTCATTAGTCATCGTCAATTGCCACTTACCGTAGAATTATCACAAGTCTTTCTCTTGAAGACAAAGGTTTTCGAAAATTCGTTGTTCTTTTCTCAATATGAGGTCCAATGTGATCAAGAAGGATTTGAAAAGTTTCAGGGCACATCCGAATATAGGAAACACATTTTTCCTCATCTCTTAAAACTTCATCCAGAAGATGATGATATTCTCCAAGATCACCTCTTCATTTAAAAATTCTGTGTGTCCAGTAACGTTTTGGGGTTCGACGTTTCCATTTCATCCAAAACAGTAAGAGCAATTGCAAAGCCTCCATTATTGTTGCACCTAGTGGAACCAAACTGAGCAAAATGGCGCAATGTGTCGCCAGTGACGATACAAAAATGTAACACATTCGTTTCTCTTCCATTTTCTTGCCGATCGTCAAAATGGAGACAAAAGAGAAAG